TACTCCTGGCAGCGGCGTACTTCTTCATGGCGACTGAAGTGGTGTTCGTCGATACATCATCGTGCATCTCGGAGATTGTTGAGGTGCACTCGGACATCTTGATCCACCTCCTGGTTGCGTTGGTGGTGATGTTCGACGCGGTTGCCCCTAGATCCGCCATGGAGGGGTTGCATGTCATCGTGGTGCTGGTCGGTGAAGCGACTTGGGCGGTGATCGGTTCTTATGGCGACTGATCGGCGAATCGAAGTGGTGGACTAAGAAGGTCTCTGATCCTAGCAGATCTCGTTGACCTGGCCATGCACCACTTTAAGCATTGCGGCGGCCTTGGCGACCTCCGGTGTCTACAGGAGTTGAGTGAGCTCGTTGGCGGCCACCGCTAGATTGGCGCTTGGGGTCTTGTAGACGTCGTGGCCGTCAACGCGAACAAACTCGTCGTCGAGGTTGCGTTGGAGTGGCCTTCCTTCAGAGTCAAGTTGTTGCTCGGCCATCGCGAGAGCAATCTCATTTGCTCGGCACTACGCATGGTTGACGTTATGGTTCTCGTGGGCGGTGCATTCCTCCTCGGTTTCGCCGTTCCGAGGCGGGCTGTCGATGCTGACGTTGAAGATTGCGCCACCATAGAACGGAGGTGGAAGATGTAGTTCGGTGGTGGATTCGGCGACGGTTTCCGTAGATCCCTGGGACACAGAGTCCGGATTCTCCTCTGGGATGGTTTGGAGGGATGCTCCGGGACGTGGGCCGACGTGCAGCATGTTGACGTCCGGCGGGAGCTGGTCAGTGAGCTGGTCGACGATCTGGCCGGCGAGAGGATGGATGTCTCCAACCTGGTCAGCGAATTTGCCCCTTAGGGCATCTTGGTAAGTGACGGCGACGTTGGTGAACCCGAAGGGTTGGGCCGTAGCCCCTGGAGTTTCCCGAGCAGCCTCCGATAGATCTGGATCGAAGGGTAGTCGGCTCTGAACCAGAGTGTCCAGAGCCGATTCGGCAATGGAGAGACAATCAGCGAGCTTCAGACCAACCCGATCGATAGATGCAATCAGATCGTCATTGTTGATCTCCCTCCTCTGGTAGCAAGGAAGCGGGCGGCGAGTCGTCGATGAAGGTGACCTCGGATCTGCAATCGCAGGTGTGGGGGTGATCGGCGCAGAATTGATCTGCACCGGCTCGAGGAGCTCTCCGACTCCGTCAGTGTTGATGATCCATGAGATCGATCCGACTGTGAAGATCTGGCCGGGCTACAGGAGGGACGAAGCGCCTGCGGAAAAAGCCATCTTGTTCGACAAGGAAACAGCACGCACATCCCTACCTGGCGCGCCAACTGTCTATAGAATATCATCGGCAGTCCTCCGAGGGGTATCCCATGAAGGTATATTGATCAGCAGAGAAACGTGTGATCAAGAACAAAAAGGCAATAGAGACACACGAGTTAGACAGGTTCAGGCCGTCAGTATGACGTAATACCCTACTCATGTGGTCTGTTGGTTTGTATTAGCTATCGTATGATATTGCGTGAGTTTGGAGGGGGTCCCTGCCCACCTTATATAGTCCGGGGAGCAGAGTTACAAGTCGGTTAGATCTGAGAGATAACCGAAAAGTAATAACTTATTACAAGAATTTTGGGATCATACATATCCTAACAGATCTCGTAGTATCTTCAGGATATCTTCCACATGTCTTGCGGGAGGCGCCGAGCAGAGTCATGCCCCGCAAGGCTTCGTCTTGTGGGCTGGGCCACCCCTAAGGGCGCTGGGGTCGTACCCCCCACAGCGAGGCCAGTATATTATTGTTTCTCAAACCAACTGGACTACAACCGAGATATAATATGTTTCTCGAAATAATTTTTCTTATTCTATTGCTTATAAAAATGTAGCAAAAAAAAGATTTAGTGCTGGGGTTCGAACCCAGGCCTTTGAGCTAAGTCACGCGCGTCCTAAACAGCTGAACCGCAATGGCGTTGTTACATATTTTTCAGAACAATTATACTTGTTTTATTTCAAACACCAAGAGTTACATGGTAATAGCTCGGCGCCAAGATCTACGGCGCCAAGGCCTTGTCCACGTCGGCGCCAGGTCACCGCCATGTCCGACGCCTCGCCAAGACCTCGGCGCCATTGGCCATGGTGCCGAGACGTGTTTCCTCGGCGCCAAAAGCTATGGCGTCGAGGTCAGGGTCCATAGACGAAAATCAAACCATCAGGGGTTTATTTGTGAATATTTTTCAAAAAAAAAGACCGAAAAATAAAAAATCCGTCCGCAGCTTCACCTGCACTGTGGCCTCCATGACGTTGGACATCACCACATAGGTGACATCAACGTTGCGGCTGGGGCCTGAAGAGCTTATGGTCCGAGTCACCGGTGGTTTGTCAACTTCTTCAGCATACTTGCACAATCACAATATTCGACTTCTTCTAGTGAGGTTCTCCTAATGTTTTAGCATTCAACATTTAGTATAAATATTCCCTACCACATGACTTCTATTGGGATTCCTATGTGCTATGATTAGTGGTACTATTTTATTACTACTCAAAAATATTAATAGAACTCTACCATTTTGGTAGTGTTGGGTTCGTAGCAATCCCATTCCCGTTTGATGGAACCACCGGCATCACCTTTGGTGCTACCTGCAGCTGTTCCTGATGGGACGTCAATTTTGATGCCAAAGCATCCGAACGCAGAGATACTTGTGCAGGGTCCAGTCAGCACCAAATCAACCATTCCCTACAAGCATGCGTTGCTTGGTTTATATTACAAGACAAGAGGACGCGTGGACACCCGCAGCATAAACGTTTTCATTACACGTTGAGGGTTACACTATTTCTTTTAGGCGAATAGACTAAATCACTCCTACATAAACTATTTTAATAAGTTGTTGTCCAGGAACGGTTGTTTTTTGTTGCCCCCTCGCTAGATATGGTTTTAGAAACGGGCTGCCCTAAAAATTGATTTCTTGGAGCAGTTTGGGTTACGGACCGCATCTGGAAACATAAACAATTCTAAGGGTGGTCGATGATCCAAAACACCCCTAGAAATAGGTGCTACACAATAGGAAACACAACTTTTTCAAACGAAATCATTAAAAGATGAACTTTATACCAAAACTCTAGAGATCGAAGAGACCTAACATTTTGTGGTTCACAAATTTTTTATTTGAGATTGTTTAGGGGTCTAAAATATACATTTTAATTTCTCAGATTTTTATTTTTTTTTACTTTTGAAAGAACCTTAGATGTAGTCACGCTCTATACTAAAGTTGTAGTGCTTGACCAGATGTTAAACTTTGTAGCTAAAACTTTTTTTATTTTAGATTACTTAGACACTAGAATATTCAATACAAAATTCATAGAAGTTAACAAAATGGATAGAATTCTATACTTGGTCATAACAAATAGTGTAGCATGCGTGGTGGTAGGGTGTGCTCATGCTAGACAATATGTCATGGGTTCCAATCCAAAGAAATTAAACCACTGCCCGATCGACATGATTTTGTGACAACAAATTAAAAGGGATACAACAAATAACATATGTGTATACAATTTGGCGAAGTCTAGCACTGCCGGAAACAGCAGATTTGCCGAGTGCCAAAAGATTTGCCGAGTGCATTCCATCAGGCACTCGGCAAAAAAACTGTTTGCCGAGTGCTTCAGAAACCACACTCGGTAAAATAATGGCACTCGGCATACCAATATCTTTGCCGAGTGCTGAAAAAGACCACTCGGCAAACTAGGAAAAAACACTCGGCAAAACAGAGACACTCGGCAAAAAACCGTCACGTGGACATCCGTCAGTTAGTGTGCCGACCGTTAGGAGTTTACCGAGTGTCCGTTAGTGGCACTCGGCAAAGAAGTAAGTTTGCCGAGTGTTTTTCTTTAGCACTCGGCAAAGAAATAATTTTGCCGAGTGTTTTTTTTGGCACTCAGCAAATAAATAAGTTTTTTTTCCCCTTCTGACATTGAAACTTTTTCTACTGTCCACATACAACATGTGGTACTCCATGTTAAGATTTAGTATATTTCTGGACCTGTTTGCTATAAGTCAAATTTGAACCGCAAGTGATTCAAATAATAGAATAAAATGAGTAGAAAAATGATATTCATGTTATTGAGTCCACTGTGAGGCCTTACTCAGGAAATGAAAAGAAATTTCGAATATCTTGTTCAGGAAACACGACCACGAACGTGTGACTGAATGGCTTTTAAATTCTAAAAAAAGCAAACGAAGTCTGAAAATCATGAGATTTGTCAAGATCTCGTGATATCATAAATGGAGGATGTGGCAAAGCCACGGTTTCCGGCAGTGTAGTAGTAGCTTTTAGTGCATCCTCTGCGCTTGTGATTCCCATCGACTCTAGCGTGCTGTTTTCAGGCTATCCTTGTAGGCGTGATCCCTCTCGATAAAGATGAGGATGGTGCTCCAAATGGATCTCTTCTTCTTCAACTAAAGATAGTCACAAATATATAGTTTATGAAGTTGGACTAGAGGAGATCCCATAGATCGTTTCACCCCTATCCTTACCTACCGAGTCAAGTTCGGTGGACCAGCGAAGGATTTTATATAATCTACCTGAAAACTGAAAGCAGAAAATATAATTGACAGTCACAAATGATTTTTTTTCTTTTCAAAGCATCCAAATAGGTCCTAAGGCCTGTTGTTTCAGGTAATATAAACAAATGGAACCCAAAGGCACAACTGGGAAGACAAAGTAAAGCTCGCGTTGCAAACTTCAGCTAGCAGTTGGTACCTAAAGAATGACATGAGCAGGATTTCAACTGCTAGCTAGCTAGCTAGCTAGGACATAGATGGCAAGCAGTATTATTGTGATTCCAAATTAACCATTACATGCGGCACCAAATGCAGCAGTGTTTATATTTGCTCATATAGTTTCTTGATACCGGCCGGTACTGTCTGGTTTACAAGATCAAATGACAAATACTAGCTCCAATGGTCACACGCATCTTGTCTGGACGACATTATTTATTTAATTATTTGTAAACTAGATAAGATTAACAAGGAAAAGCCCATATCCGATCCGGATCATTGAACACGAGGGGGACAAGTTTTAGTGCATCTTCTGGGCTCATGATTCCGTTCGATTCTAGCGTCCTGTTTTGAGGCCATCCTTGGTAGGCGTGATCCCTCCAGTCCAGCAGTGCTCTTGATATTACTGGCCAATTCTTTATGTAACCCATCAGTTCCTTGGCGAATTTGGTCCCGTTGTTCCAGTCACCTGCAATGGCCTGGAGGACACGATTCATCCTCGCTGAATCGCGGACCATGATCATCAGGCCCACCAGTGACCGCTTGGCTTCCACACTACCTCTACCTGTGAAGCGCGATAGCTCGCGCACGGCTTCCGCCATGAAGGTCTTGCCCAGCCTCGCTCCTGCAGCAGCAGGCTCCCTGTCCCTTCCGTGGTCCCACCACTGTAGAAGTTTTGAATAAAATCCTCCTGGGAGCTCCCGATGAGAGCCAGGCTCGTAGCAGCAGGCTCGACGACCCTGCATGTTGATGAAGCCTATTACGTCCAAGTTGTCACATCGCATGACTAAGATTATCGATGACGTTTCTTTCACGGCCTCCTCCGCTTCCGCTTCCAGTTTGATGCGAAACAAACTTTCTTGTTGGATGGGGTGAGTGTCAGGATATGTCAGGTTGACTTCCTGCATGTTAACTTTGCGGAGCACTTTGTTGTTACTTGTGGATGAGAGATCTGGATGATCAGCCACGAGATCCCTGCAGCGTGGGTGGTCGGTCACCAATCTACGCAGCTCAATGATGAATGTACTGAATCCTTGTGCATCATTCCCAACCATGTAGGATATGTCAGGTTGCCACATCCTATCCATCTGCAGTACATATGTAGTAGTGATCAAGCAAAAGACTACATATGACATATCTGATGATTAGCGAAAAACAGAACAAAACAAAAGGAAAGCATAAGAAATTAATGTGTTGAGCAACGAGTGCTCAGTCATGTTTCCAATGTTTACCTTCCTTGGTCCCGGGACATATTCACCACAAGGGTACAAGGCGACGTTCACTTCAACTTCATACCCGTCCACTTCACAACGTTCACGGGACATATTCTGCAGTACGTTGTAGAAGGTGAAACGCGAATTAACACTAGCCTCTTGGTTCTTGGAAGTTTCAATGCTCAGGTCCACCCCTACGTGAAGCCGTTGACCACATGGCACCGCAACCACGTTCCTGGCCAGATCAAGGGACCGCACCAGCTGATATAGAACGCCCTGCGGCGAGTCCGTCATTGGAGAGAGATGCTGTGCCGTCTCCTTTGTACGCCTGAAGAGGATGCTCTGGCCTTTGAAATCACCAATGCTAGCGGTAATAACACCGTAGACGCTACAAGGGCTGTTCCCAGCTTTCATCCGCAGCTTCACCTGCACTGTGGCCTCCAGGGCGTTGGACATCACCGCATAGGTGATCTCAACGTTGCGGCCGGGGCCTGAAGAGCTTATGGTCCGAGTCATGGGTCCTTTGTCAACTTCCCTGGCGTACTCTGGGTCATAGCGGTCCCATTCCCATTTGATGGAACCGCCACCGCCATCACCAGTGCTTGTGTAGGGTCCTGGGATGTCAATTTTGATGGCAAAGCACCCGTATGCCGAGATGCTTGTGCAGGGTCCCGTGAGCACCAAATCAACCATTTTTCCCTACAACCATGCACATTGCTTCATTAATAATCTAATCTATTATTGCTTTCATGCGAAAAGGATTCATATAGATTATGGATACTAGGGATTAGTTAATAGACATGATCTAATACATGTACCTTTTCTCCTTGTTCCTGCTTCCTATAGATGATATGGCCTCGTTTCCCGTCGAAGACTATTACGGTTGTGCCAAGGACCCCAAGGTCCGCATGCATGGCCAACAGCTCCACCCGAGGTCGGTCCTTGGCACCGTCAGCCTTCCGATGTCGCGACCAAGAAAGGTCCATGAAGCTGCTGCTGCTCTCGGCGCTGCCGGCCTGATGAGGTGGATCCAAACGGTAGTTGAGCACGAGGTAAATGTCTCGTAGCACTGAAATGGGGTGCGGGTTGGCATATCTTCTACTCTTCCATTCCAGCAGCTCACGTGACATCCTCCCATATTTATTCAACACGTAATCAAGCATCAGATCCTGGGTTAATTCCCTGTCGGAAAATACCGTGCTCCTGCTCCACGAGCTTGTAAAGAAGTTGTAGATTGGATTCATCCTTGCAGACTCGCAGACGATGAGGATCAGCCCCGCAAGTGCCAACCTAGGTGAAATACGATCGTCCACCCAAGCTGGGAAGCACGACAGAACGTGCACGGCATTCATGGCGAAGTCCAGTATTCTCACAAGACCACCTTCAGTGTCGACGTCCAGTGAGGATCCGTAACCGACACCCCAGCTTAGGCGTTGGGGACTGTACATGAGCGCCAGTATTCTCACAAGACCACCTCCAGTGTCGACGTCCAGTAAGGATCCGTAACCGACACCCCAGCTTAGGCGTTGGGGATTGTATTCATCAACTGGGAGTATATCGGCAGATCTATCCGGGTTCTCGATGAGCTCAAATGAATCTCCTTGCTGGTTCATGAAGCCACAGACATACAAGTTGTCGTCCCGCATGATTAGGGTTGTCGACATCGTTTGCTCTCCCTTCCCTGCTTGCAGCTTGACGTGAATCCACCTCGCCGGCTGTTCAGCACGTTGCTTGGCGAGCACCGGGTGTTCTCTGGTGGAGGAGAGAATTGAACTGTGGTGGCGATCAAAGATATCCTCGCGGTCTGGATGGTCAGCGAGGATGCCACGGAGAGCCATTATAAATTCAGTGAATGACAGTTCGTCTCCGATGGTGTACACTACAGTTCGATGCCCTGAAACCATTTTGGCCTGCATGCATTACCCGAGAGTTTAGTTAAAAGAAGGAAAGTGATACTCCCTCCGTTTCCAAATTATAAGTCATTCCAAGAATCTTGGAGAGTCAAAACATCTCAAGTTTGACCAAATTTATATAATAAGATAATAACATTTATGATATCAGTTAAGTATCATTAGATTCTTTGTTAAATATATTTTTATAGTATATCTATTTGATGTCATAAATCTTTGTATTTTGATCAAATTTGAGATGCTTTGACTCTCCAAGATTCTTGAGATGACTTATAATTTGGGATGGAGGGAGTAACAAATGTCTTCAATGTTTAGCGCACGCACTATAGTAGCTAGTCCTCCTTTAATTTACCTCCTGTGTACCACTGATGAATTGTTCTAACGACGACGGAGCAGTAATAGCTTTCTCCGGATGAGCCTCTTTGCTGGTTATTATTTGCTCCGGAGGGTGACTTATTGTCCGTGCGATCTGCAGTGGATTAGTAGTATATAATAATCATCCAGTAGACAACAAGATTATTAGTATTCGTTAAAAGAATAAGAGATGATAAAAAATGTCTTCAATATAATGTTTACCTCCGGGTACCAGGTGACTTCGACTTCCACTTCCACTTCATTGCCGTCGTCAGTTTTACTGGAACTAATTCCATTGGCGAAGCGGAGAGGAATATTATTCAATTCAACTTTCTTGCCATTGCCAGTTTCAATCTGGAGGTTCACCTCTATTTGAAGCGCACTGCCGCATGGCACTGCAACCACATTCCTCGCCAGCTCAAGAAGGAACCACGAGTCGTCATCGGTAGGGGAGAAACACTGACGCGTCCCCTTTGCACACCTGAAGAGGACGCTCCTGTATTTGTCTTCAAAGCCGTCGATACGTGCAGTGATCTCACCACCAATGCCAGCAGTGTTATGCCCATCTTTGAGTCGCAGCCTGACCTGCACTGTGGCCTCCAGGGCATCTGACATCACAACGTAGGTGACCTCAGCTACCTCGGGTCGCATGTCCGGAGCGCAGATGGTATGGCTCACTGGTAGTTGGTCGACTTGGGCGGCGTACTTGGGGTCATAACAGTCCCATTCCCATTGGATGAGACCACCGGCATCGCCACTGCTGCTACTGGCAGTGGCAGGTGGGATGTTAATTTTAATGGCGAAACACCCGTAAGCTGAGATGCCTTTGTAGGGTCCAGTCAGAACCAACTCGACCATTCCCTACATGCATGCACTGTTTGATTAATATGACATGGTTGTAAAAAAGATTCATATAGTAATTTTTTTATTAGTTAGAGGTATTAAATAATAAGTAATGCTTATATCTTCTATGATTCTAGCTCTGCGAAAGCAAAGGTTGATGGACTAGTGACTACCTAATGATTATGTCTCCTAAAATTGTAGCGATTATGGGAATATAAGGGCCTGTTTGGATCCGCTGCTCTAAACTTTAGAGCTAAAGTCTCCAAATAAGTGGTCAAAAGTTAGCTCTAAACTTTAGCCACCTCACATTAAAGCTTTAGACCTATAAAATGAGCTAAAATACTGTAATATTTTTAGAGCTCTAAAGTTTAGAGAAGGAGATCTAAACAGGCCCTAAGTTGACAAATTAGTAAGACATAATATATGTAAACCTGTTCTGTCTCCTCTTCTCCTTCCTCCTTCCTATAGATGATCTGGCCTCGTCTGCCGTCAAAGACGACGATTTCCGTGCCTTTGACATGAAGATCAGCATGTATGGCCAATAGCTCCACCCGAGGTCGACCGTGGCCCTGGCATCGTAGATCAAGATCCCCGTTGTCACCGGCCTCCCCGGGTTGGCTAGCAGAGCCACCGCTGCTGTCACCATCACCGGCCTCTCCAGGTTGGCTAGAAGAATCGCCACCACTGCTGCTGGTGTCGTCTCCGGCCTCATCGGCTTGGCTAGCAGGGCCGCTGCCGCTGTCGGCATCGCTAGCGTCCTCTGATTTGCTATCACGGCCGCCATTGCTGCCAGCATCGCTAGCCTCCTCCGATGATTTGCTAGCAGAGATGCCACCAATGCCAATGTTGCAGGCCTTCTTGTGTTGGATTTGTGGGCTCCCATTGCTGCCATTGTTGAATCCCCTTTTACGCTCGCGGCCACCTCCGCTTTGGCTAGGAGGGCCGCCACATCCGTTGGTATTGTGGCCACCTCTGCTTTGTCCAGGAGGGCCGCGACCACTGCCAGTGTTGCCGGGCTTATTAATAGAATCTCCATCGTTGTTGACATTGCCAGGCGGCTTCCCACGTTGATTATTCTTCTTTTCTTCTTTTTTAGCCTGATCACTTGTATGGGTGTTGTTGAGCACGAGGTAAATGGTTTGTAGCTCCATAATGGGGTGTGGTTGCCAATTCTGTGTGCTCACATTGCTGGCGTATCCTCGGGTCTTCCATGCCATTAGCTTGCTCGACATTTTCCCATGTTCCCAGACGTTCTCAGTCATCAATTGCTTGGCGAATCCCGTGCCGGTGCTCCACCCAAGTGAAAAGGAGTCGTGGGGAGGATTCATCCTTGCGGACTCGCAGACCATGACGATCAGGCCCGCCAGTGCCACCCCGGGCCTCAGATCGATACCAGCCACCGGATTTGGGTGGCTCGACAGCACGCGCACGGCGTTCTTCGCAAAATCACGGCCCAAATGAGCCGCCTCCAGTTTGTGCACGGCATGATCATTACTTTTGGCTCCCAGCATGGACATGTAACTGACGCCCCATCTTGAGAGTTCGGGATCGCGTCCATTAGTAATTGGGAGCAGTATATTGGTGGCTGCATTCCGGTTGTCGTCGAGCAGCTGGAACGAATCTCCTTGCTGGTTCATGAAACCAAGGACGTACACGTTGTCATCCCTCATGAACAGGGTTGTCCACGACGTTTCCTCTCCCTCCACTGCTTGCAGCGTGACGTGAATCCACCTCGCCGGTTGTTCATCAGCACGCTGCTTGGCCAGCACTGGATGATCTCCGGTTTCGGAGAGATTTGGGTCTTTGTGGCCGCCCAAGATATCCTCGCTGTCTGGATGCTCGGCGAGTTTGCGACGTAGATCCGTCATGAATGAAATGAATGAAATTTCATCTCCGATGGTATACACCAGTTCAGCATGTACTGCAACCATAATTAAATTAACACATGAGAAAAATAACCCAATATATACATGTACATGCACGCACGCATAGACCAAGTTATAGTTTTGAACTTAATTTGTTGCAAATTAATTACCCACGTATCGTCTCATCAGAGATATCAATAAATTATTACTCACTTTCGACGTTGTTAAAAGTAAACTAAATTAACTTCGAAATATGCATCAAAATTACTTACATTTGTCGTTTTAGAAAAAAGTCTCAAAACGACCTTTTTTAACATAAACTATATCATTATGAATGCGAGACCTTATGAGTATATCGATTTTCATATCAAATATATGCCTCAAACTATGTTTTGTTGACAGCAAAAATGTTAGCACACGTGCAATGGGCTCCAACATGAAGTTCCCGACGTCAAGACGATCAAGAAATACATTTGGATCATCAAATTTGGAGTTCAAACGAAGAAAGGATGATTTTGGGGTCTGTCTGGCTTCTCTGATCCTATCTGGCAAGGGCTGTTCAGCCCCGCGAATACTGGCTAGGCCAGTTTGCCTGGTCTGAGACCGCTCCGAGTTTAGCTCGGTCCTAGCTCATGTTTTGACGTGGAAAAATTGTAAATTATGTCTTGGATATGTTTCTTAATGGGATAAGGCCACCTCCCTCTCTATATATTGGAGGATCATGGCCAGTTGAGGGATGCAACTTCCAATCGATAAAAAAACATCTATTACCCTTTTTTATTTACCCTAGCTTTTTCAACCCCTGCTGTTCGGCGCGTCTCTCGACGAGATTCGGTGGCGTTCTAGGTGGCCCTTGCCGACCTTAGGACAACCTCAATGTGCCCCTCCCTGACGGATCTTCCCGAGAGGTGTTCTTGAGCTTTTCAGGCGAAGAACGGGCATCGAATCGGCTCTACCAACCGGCTGGTCGGTCTTACTGACCTCGGATGTCCTTGTTGCGTGATAGGTTGTGTGCGACCTTGGACAAGCTAATCTTTGCTGGTGTGTGATTCAAATCGACGTCAACACACTTTTTGGTGGCTCCATTGGGAAAAGAAGATCAATCTACAAGCAACGTGTCTGAAGAACACAACAAGAAGGAGGGTGATCCCACGGATCCGTTGAACCCCGACAATATCATTCATCCTACGACGATTGATCAACTACTAGAGGATCTCCGTAAGATAGTGGAGGAGTAGAACGCTACTAACCTACAAGCCGCTCTTGCAATTTGTTCGCTAGATCGGCGAGGAGGGGTGGCAAAACAATTCAAGGTAGTCAATCAGGTTGCTCATTCAACCACTACTGAACCCAAGGTAACACCACCCGTAATTAATACATCTTCTGTTGTTACCATGGAACAACTCAATAAATGATGGCGGATTGTGATACGGCTATGATAAATACGTTTCATAGTATGCAATACAATGCAAGTCTTAACAAACCTACGGATTATGGACCTATTATGCCTAGTGTGTCTGTATTAGTGTCTTCTTCTCGATCTTAAGACCACGGATCCTTCCTTTGGCATGCCGATGTACTACTTTAAGGGTGATATGATCAATTAGCCGACTAGAGGGGGTGAATAGTCTTTTCTAAAACTAATTATGCGCCGACTAACCGAAACAAATACGGAAATAGACTAATCGGTCTAGCCAAGACTACACCCCTCTATCTATGTTCACAAGCACCTTACAAAGATCCTAATTTAGCAACTAAGGTGCCAAGCTAGAGAGAGCTCACCTACACAAGTCTTGCTGGTAAGGTCACACAAATCTAAGCAACTAGTACAACAAAACACACCAGGAGCTCCTACTCATACTAGTTAGCAAAGCGCTCAAAACCTAAGCCACACTAGCACTACTCAACTAGCAAAGCTACACAAGCTAAACTAGAGAGCAACAACTACTTAGTTACGCAAACTAAGTAAGGCTACTTAGCTACACAAGAACTACAACACTAGCACAAGTATGTACAAGTAAAACAAGCTAGTGATAAGGATTGCAAACTGTTGACGGTCGTTAACCCTCAAAATAAACCGTCAATATAACATGAAAAAATGAATAAATATGATCACTAACATAGGCATAGGGGTTTTAACTAATAAATTCCACAAGTGTTGGTGAATCTGTGTCTACAGAAGGATTTAATCAGAAAACAGGCAAAGTGGACCTATCCGTCGGAGCAAATCACGATCATCAGCGACGAAACCGACTTAGAGGACCTCCAATCCACCATCCAGGACAGATCATCAAAGATTGGGCAGAGAGGAGCCTGGGTGGGGCCAGCCGGCCCATGGGGCCCGCTGGTCTGCCCCTGCTTGTACGTCGGTGCTCCACCGCCTTTAAGGATCAATCTTAACCGTGTATCAAGGTCGGTTCTTAAATTTATCGTGTGCGAACAATGTGGTTCTTAAATTTATTGTTGAATTAATAATGCTTATGTTCCTTAGCCATTTTTGTCTATGCTTAGCACAAATTGACGGACTAGTGTGTGCATAGTACTTTTTACAAGAAATACAAAAAAAACAGGGATCAGCGGTGTGGCAATGATATATCATATCATAAAAAATGCAATAATATTTTGAAAATGGTCATACTTTAAAGGATTGAATGCACACTTCAAAGAAAAGGGATTACCGTTGAGCACGAGGTAGATGTCACGTAGCTCCGAGTCGGGGCGCCGTTCCGCATAGTTTCCTCTCTTCCAATGCCTCAGACGCCTTGACATCTCTACATATTTCCACACGTAATCTGTCATCAATTGCTTGGTGAATCCTGTCCCGGTGTCCCAGCCACGTGCAATGGCGTCGCGCACAGGATTCATCCTTGCGGACTCGGAGACCATGAACTTCAGGCCCACCAGTGCCAGCATGGGTGTCATCTCGATGCCATCCACCTCGTGTGGGTAGCGCGACAGCAAGCGAACGGCGTGCGTGGCGAAGGTCTTGCCCAGGTTTGCGGATGTCAGTCTATCCTTGACTTCCTCCTCCTTTCTGACGCCTAGTATGCTTTTGTAGCTGTTGCCCCAGCCTAGAAGTACTGGCTTGTATTCTTGTGGGAGGATCCGACGGGCGCTTCTCTTTCGGTCGGCAAAATCGTAACAGACTCCAGACTGGTTGATGAAGCCGATCACATCCACGTTGTCATCCCTCATGAGTAGGGTTGCCGATGACGACGATTCCTCGCCCTCAACCACTTGCAGTTGCAGCTTGATGCGAATCCACCTCACCGGTTGTTCAGCACGCGGCTTCGGGAGCAGTGGGTGTTTTCGGCTACTCGAGATATTTGGGTCCACGTGGCGATCACAGATATCCTCACGGTCTTGGTGATCAGCGAGGATGACACGTAGATCCTTTATGAATTCAGTGAACGACGACCTGTGATCGTCAACGGTGTACGACAGTCCAGCTGGAGGTTGATCCTCCGCCATTTCGACGTCCTGCAGTTGTGATTTATTAGTTACTAGTGTTTAGAATAGAGTGCTTTGATCGTAAAGCAAGATACTCAGACAAATAGGAATGTAATCAGTAGTTTCATTAATCTCTGTTTGCGAACGAGGGCTCGCTCAGTGGTGCGCCAACCACCGGCGTTCACCAGGGTCTTTACCCATCTCCTATATATAGCCACAAGCGCACATATACGAGGGTGCTTGGTTTCCGGCCACAGCACGCTACGCCACAAAGTCCGGCAGCCACAGATATCGAAGTGACTGTTTGGTTGGTGGATACGCGTAGGCAGCCACGGAAAACCGTAGTGCAAATCGGATGGAATCTCGCCACACTTTGTGGCGGCCATTTTTTTCCGCCCCAACTGCGGCAACCAAACAACCCCTATATGCTAATGTGTCACAATGGTCAAGTGACATGTTGATCACGCTCGGAGTCTTGTGATCCTCGGGTACCTTTTAGCTGCGTTCGGTATCTATGTGTAGTCAGTGGCGGATGCACGTTCAACCTGTGGGGTTTTGATTGCTGGATGGAGTGTGTAGTTGTAGGTTTGTGTGTGTCCATTGTGTGTGAGTGTGTGAGGTGTGCGTCGAACCAGTGTGTCCAAGGGACGTGTCCGTTCGGTTCCTGTCTACGAATGAGATCAGCGGTTCGTTTCGCAACAACCAGTAAAAGAATGAAAACTAACAATGAATTAAATGCCTTTAATGTTTGGCGCACAACATGTACTGTGGTCGCTAATCCCTCGAAATGTTACCTTCACTGGTGCTTCCTGATTTGCTGCAGCATCACAGATTCCCAGGTTGCCAATCGCTGGGCTACATCTACTTGCTGGAACCCCCGGCCCGACCTGCAGCTCACCGTCACCGGCCGACTTCACGTCCAACATCTCCTGGTCAGGCGTATCTCCCATGGTGAATTCCTGTGCCAGTACATGAATTTAGTTAGTTCCTGCTACTACTATTCACTGAGTGATAACGGGTAAACCTAGAATTTAGACCATGCATGTTTGTCTTTACCACAGCTGTTGCAAAACATTAATTACCCAGTGTTGCATCAGAATAATCATTGTTTGCCATATATTCTCCTTATATACTCCCTCCCTCAGTCCCGTTACTCTCCCAAACATTTTTAATTTTGACTAAATATATAGATAAAAATATTAATATTTAGAGTTTAGTATCATTAGATAGATCGTTGAATATACTTTTATAATAAACTTATTTGACGATATAAATATTGCTAATATTTTCTAAGACCTAGTCGAACTTAAAAAAAGTTTGACCAACATATTTCACAGATGGAGTATACCTTACGGTAGCTCAACCTTGTTACTAAGGTGGTATGCGGAGGGAGAAAGAAAAGCAGCAGAGGTGCAATACAATGCAGCACCTGTGCTAGACATGAAAATTTTGGCACCGAAGCTTGAGTTGGCAACAGGTTCCTAACATGAAAAATCATTTTCTTCTAGAGAAAACCAAAGAAGACCGGCACCACCTGCCAGAGTGCTGGGCAAGACCGCAAGAGACGGATACAGTGGAAAGATTGTTTACTTGTTTATACTTGATGGTTTCCTATACATTAGAGTGAAATTTCCTAAGTTAGACACTCTGACGTGGCATTATCTTTGAACCGTTGTATCTTCCAAACGTTAAGGTTGCCCCTAGATATCAGCCGTACTCAGCTTATTCTCTCTTACAGAACACTATTGAATCAGCCGTAAAACGTATCAGCCAAACAGCCCCAAGAGTTTGGCTACATCATGTGGGATATGTACTCTGTAGTTACAACTCTGGCATTAACCAAATCGCTGCCATGGAAAATTGGTACATTAGTACACATAGCAAACAGAGAAATAATTAATAAACCTCAAAACTATGTGCATACATATTACTATGAACCTACATATTACTATGAACCTCAAATATTCTTTGAGATCCATGCACATGAGAAAACAATCAAATTCTGTCAGGTGACTGGTTGAATCTCTCTCTTTTTTAAACGCAAGTGGCCCTTTCAATTAAAGTCATATATACAGAGAGGGGCAAAGAGCCCAAAAGACACTGGCTGCACGCCTCAAAACTATGTGACTGGTTGGATCTCAGAGAAGACTAGAGGGTGATGTCATAATTGCACATATATTGAAGCTGAAGATTCCAAGCCCAACAGAAAGTGTGGTAATGAGCCATTACCACACTTTATGTTACAAATTAGACGACCCCAACGTAGGCTCAAATTTAATCCTTACCAGACACATACTAGGGAAAAATAAATCAAAGAAATTATCACAGAAAATCAGTAACATCTTGACATCAATTTCATATAATCTAGTAATCATCAGTGATAATGATAGCCATTAATTATGTTCTGTTTTCAAAAAAACTACTCGTCATTATAAATAAAATAGCTCAAAGTAATCCCTTTATTTGCATCTAAATTACACACATGTAAATATCTTCGGAGACAAAAATATTGTTCACATCATTCATGGATATAGATATACATTATATCTAAATACATTTTACAAATATTATGTACTACAAAAGCCGGATGGAGTACCAAAAGAGGGCAATTGAAGCATGATTTATGCTGATTTGGAAACCACAAGGCATCTTACTATTAGTTGCAGCAGGATAACTATGCCGCTCTTGTTCTTCAGAAACAAAAGGGAAGAAGAAAAAGATTTTGAGTCCATTTTTCCTATTGTCATCCTGCGCAGGCTAAATACAACAACGTAATTCAGATGTATCATGTACCCCCGGTGGCGGATCTAGAAACATATGTTAGGAGATACTTATTCTTATTATTTTGGACATTTAGTCTCTTCTTCTAAACTTTAATGAGTATAAATTTGTAGCCAGCCTTAGGAGCGGCTCCATGCTTCTAGCGACGGTAGCGGGGGTTCAAGCCCTGGCCGGCCCGGTACTAGATCCGCCCGTGAGTACCCCCCAAATCCTTCGGTTAGCAGCGCATGCGCACCACATAGTGATTGGGCGCTGGTAAGGTTTAAAAATGTATGCACACAAGATGTAGGGGCTGGTATTTATCAATTAGAAACACATTGGAGATATTATCAATGCAAAAAGCGACAACTAACCGGGTAGTAGGTGATGGAGACGGGGGAGACCTCTACGCAGCCTGAGGCTGCTAGCCGCTGCACGCCTTCCGCTCCCAGAGATGGGGAATGGGGATGGCTTTCGTGGTGGACGCAGAGGGAAGGAAACATGTGTCGAGAAATGTATCTACCCCTGGAGCTCCATTATTGAGGCGCAGTTTTCAAGCCATCGAACCACGTTGAACCATCGCCATCATGTACGATAAAGCTGCAGAAATTCACCAGCCAACCAATGTAGCGGACACTGTGCTGGGCAAATTTCACCGAGATTCGAGAACCGAACCGAACTAACTGAGAACCAAAATTTCGGTTATCTGTTCGGTTCTCAGTTTTTAGGAACCAAACTTTGTTCGGTTAAATCGGTTCCTCTCCTCGGTTAACCGAAATAACCGAAGAACCCAAGGCCCAGTAAGGCCCAGCATGAACTACTGCTTGACGCCCCAGCATGAACTACTGCTTGACGCCTTGACCCCGAGCGAGTAACCCTAAACACTCCAGTGTCCACCCTGAGACCTCCCGGCCTCCTCACCCGCGCCGCATCCCCACCCGCGCCGCCGCCACGCGCGCTTGCCCCGGCAGCCGGCGCGCCATCCCGGCCTCCCAGTCCGGCGCCGCATCCCCACCCGCGTCGCCGCATCCCCACCTGCGCCCCTGCCTGCCGCGGTGCCACCCTACCCTGCTGCCCCTACACTGTGCCTGCGGGATCCCCGCCGGCCGCCGGCGCCGCCAGCCCACCACTGCCCAAGCTCGCAAGGCCCTCTCGGTCCGCAGTCCGCACGTCACCACTCACCAGCGCCCTCCACCCCAAGACGGCTACATCCATTGCTTCCTGCAGTGTAAGTATTTTGCTGACAGATATGATTCAAGATCTAAATGTATGTGTCACTTCAATTATTTTTTTAGATGTCTCAGCTTGAGGAGGACATTGACCAAGAGATCAGTAATTGGGTTGAGAACCATGGGAATGAAGAGGATTTTGCTGGTGGAGACGGTGGTGATGCTGGGAAGGAGGTCATCAATGTAGACCGTGAGGAGGAGAAGCCGTGGAAACAGATAGCAGCTAGATCCAACATGTGGCAACACTTCGCCAAGATGAAGGTTGATGGTGTGGTGGTCAAGGGAAAATGCAATTATTGCAGTAGTGAAATCATGGCACGTTCAGTTTATAATGGTACGTCTGTCATGCGTAAGCATTTTAACACTTGCAAGAGTAATTCTCATAGGGCTAGTGATGATGAAAAGCAAAGTGTTTTGCAAGTAAATCAAGGCAATAGTGTAGGCACTTGGAAGTTTGACCCTGAATTGCTTAGGTCTGCCTTTGCTGAAATGATCATAGAAGATAAGAAACCATTTGCAAAAGGTGAAAAGCCTGGTTTTAGAAAGTTCATGGCTCTTGCCTGCCTCGGTTCAATAGTTGGTCGGTTAGTTCAGTTGGAACTGAGAACCGAACTGAACTAACCGAAACCGAACTTGGTCGGTACCGCGTTTTTTGAAGAACCGATCGGTACCGAGTTTCCTGAGAACCAAACTTTTTCAAAACCCGAAGAACCGATCGGTTCGGTTTGGTAAAACCAAACGCCCAGGCCAAGCGGCCGTAGAGTTTGAACGAACGGTTCTGGTTGTCTTGTCTCAGGCTTGTTCCAGCCAGCTGAGAATCATTGCCCCTCCGTCGCAGAAACCTAGGGTGTGTTTGGTTCTCTTCTAGGTACCGGCCGGCTCGGCTCTCGAGAGACAGGCTTTCACGGACCAGCAGCGAGCGAGCGAGGCTCCGGAGAAACGAGATCCAGTTTTGTTTCCCGGGAGCCAGGTTGAGTGCTGATTTCTGCACACGAAGGCACGGGCCAGGCGGAGATGCAAGCAACCAATCGCCCTTCAGTTGCAAGCGCGGAGCCTGGCTAGCGGTCAGCGGCAGATCCAGGAAAAAATTTAGGGGGGGGCTAAACAACATATACCTCCGACTGCTGCTCGATCTTAAGTCTCAGCCCCACCTATACTATAAAACTTTGCCTAAAAATTCATGGGGGCTCCAGGGTTCCCTTTGCTCAGTATGGGTAGGGGGCCGAGCCCCCCCCCCCCCGCCGCCCCACCATTGGATCCGCCCCTGCTAGCGGTGCTGCAGCCAACCAATCACTCGTCGAATGCATGCGTCGAGCCAGGTCAGGCCGCATACAAGCAACCAAACACGCCCCTAGTGAATCCTTCGTCCCTATCCCACCGTACCTGCCACCTTACCCCACACCCGGCTTCCGGCCGTGTCGTCACCACCTCCCCGCCCACAGCCCTCCCCACGCCGCCGCTCCACAGTCCCCTCCGCCGCCCTCTACGTACGCAGGCTAAGACTGCTAGCTGCTGCGTGCCTCCAGTCCAAGGGACGGGATCTTATGGCTTTCGTCGTGGATGCTGAGAGAAGTATGTGTCGAGTTGATATGCAGATTAGCCCTGGCCAGCTAGTAGAGATACATGCGTGTATACCTATGGTCCATGGACCTCTATTATTGAGGTGCAGATAGCCGTCGGCCACGATTAACAGAGGCGGGCCTCACAAGAGGTCCGTCGGCCTCCATTTTCGGAGGCGGGCCACCGTAAATTGATTCTAGGAGACGGTCATTTTTTACCACCTCCGTAAATCGATTTTACGAGACGGACAATCCTGAGTTCCTGACCGTCTCCGGAAATAAAATGTCCACCTCTGTAAATGCATTTTGCAAGACGGTTAATTGTGACCGCCTCTGTAAATGAAAGCGTCTGCCTCCGAAAATCCTCAGGCATTTTACGAGACGGTTGGATTTTGTGACCAC